TCTATGGCTTCCACCTCGACCGGCCAAACTACCCACCGCAACATCCACAAACGCAGAGTGTGTCGGCGTTTTAACGTCGCTCTAATTCCTATCTTTCTTCCCCGAAACATACAGATTCTGGACAACGAATCAGTTTTCCGGGGAGCGTTCCGGGAAGAGCTTATGTGCATGATGCACTTCCAGATTCTCGTGCTGCTCTCCGCTGAGGCTCGTCTTCAGCGCGAGGTAAGTAGACGGGGACCGAGACTCTTATCAGTACTTTGCCGCTCATCTTGTTGAGGAACAGAGGGTGTCGTACGGCCGTAAGCTCGACGAAGAAAAGCTGACAATGTGCACTCGCTTTCAGACTGGTGCAAGGCCATCCGTGGAGTCCCGAAGTTCAGTGGGGTTTAGTTCTCGATCATCACTGTTGAAAAAGTTGAAGAGTCTATCGTCCGTAGCGTTTAGTTCGACTCACCACCCTTCTCCCAAGCAACAGTTGTACGAACCCAGAGCCGGTTCTTATCTCTTTCTCTATATCTGACACACTTCTATGTTTCTCCCTCTCTCTATCTACGGTTTCCTGCAACTACAGGGAATCTTATTCAGAAAGTTCTTGAAGGAAAACCACTTCAAGCTTCTGTCTAACGGAATCGTGCCGCCGAACGCCGTCTTCAGCAGCGCTAGGTACGTAAAGCTGTTAGCTTCGTGTCGTCGCCATCCGTGCAGAAAGATGGCACCCTGACCGTTGACAGCAACAGCTGAATACGGTGTTCCAGAGATTGAATGAACACCGCAACAGTTTTCTATCCTCGTATGATCTGCCTAAACTATGCAGCTCGTTCTTATTTGAGTTGTTTCTATAGGTTGCCACAAGCGTCGTGGGCACGCGTGACTACTTCTATTATCCGCCACTTTGCCACTCTTCTTTCTTTCCTCCGTTGTGTTTCGTTTCTTTCATAGTTTCGCATCGGTGAATATCCCGATGATGGCGGTGTGGCTTACAGGGCTAACTGGGGAGGAGCGGGAGCGGTTTCAGGCGCTACGCAGAAAGTTCTCCGAAATACAGGTTATACGAGCAAACTGTGCGCTTCATCACAAGTATTCCTTCGAACACGTTGACAAATCCGCTCTCCCATCCCTCTTTCTCTCTACGGTATCTCTGTGAGACTTTGGAAGTCCGTCCGTGTGTTCTCTATGTTCCATAGGATGCACCGCGAGAAACCCGCAGCGAAAGTGTGTTGGCTATGTATCTCCAGCAGATATAGGATGCACAACGAGACCAACGCGCTCGGGAACTTTTTCGCCCGAGATATATTCTTTGCTAACTTTCTCCGCCCCTCTTGAGGGCGTTCATTTCACGCAAATATGTGCAGGGGACCCCCGCGGCCTCTACAGAGGACGTTTACAGAACTTTTTTCATCCCCATCTCTACAGGATCGTCCGTGTTGAGAATATCGGTGGTTTCGTGCGTGCCCAGTCGTCATTCCTGGCTGTGTCATTTTTTTGATAGCGCGTCACACCGCACAACACAACAACACAACCGCACGACCGCATCGCTAATATCTCCCGGTCATTTACTTGTGGCCATGCGCCACACTACACCACGTCACATCGCCACACCATCACAATAGTCCGACCGCGACCGCGCGGTGATTGAGGCGGACGAGGCCTGCGACAAAGCTGCCGCGGAGCTAGAGAAGGGAAGGGAGGCCAGGTCAAACAAGATGGCCGCAAAGCAGAGGGAGACCTTCGCGAGGAGACGAGCGGAGAGGGCGGATGCATGGACCGAGCAACTCGCAATACAGGTAGGTGTGTGTGCATGTATGACGATATTGCAGCAAGCACGGCTCCTTCACAAAACATGCCGCGGAGGGGCGTTTCTCTTCTGTCTGTAAAAACACCTGAGTACGATATCTATAACTTGATGCAAGGTTACCTAGCCTCGAAGGTAAAATTGTTGTCATGCATCAGTTTGGTGTCGTACCCGCCCGCCGTCCCTCTAAGCTATACCCTTCCCTGCCCTACTACTATCTACTCTACCAAAACACATTCGAACTTCAACAGGACCAGCAGATGTTTGCGAGCCTGAGGGCCCAATGGCTCAAGCACGACAACGTCACGGTACACCCAACCCACAAGGTGTGCGTGCCTACTCTGCTTCTGAATTCACCGCTGTCAAGTTGGTCGCCCTTTCCCACCTCACATATTTCTGAAAGAGGATGTGGTGACCGAAGGTATTTGTTTCAGTAGGTTCATGCCTTTGTGTGTCCGAAGAAAGTACGACACCTCTGCTTTCGGGGAAGTTGGTGCTTCTACTCCGACCTTGTCACCCCCGCCCCTCAAGATTCTCCGACAAGGTTTCGACCGAATGGGGCTCCTGCCCAAAAAACAAGTGCTCATTTTCCTACTCTTGTGCAACCGAAACCTACTATTAATAAGCGACCCCCCCCCCCCCCTAGGGAAAACAATTTTTGAACCCCCTTTTGGCAAATTAAGAAAGAACCATTGGGCATCCGTGAACCCTCCTGTGGGAACTACCCTCCCTCCTCTCCAGGAACCCTGATCAATTAT